TGCCTGAGCTCCTCTGAGGTTGTGTAGACAGGCCTTTGATCAGCCAATGGCATGGGAGTATCTGGTCAGGGTATTATTTGGGCTCCCTCTCCATTGTTTTGCTGTGCTTCCTTGTGGATGTGCAGACAAGCTTTTATCGCATAACCTAAGACACCCTACTACCCTGGGCTCTGTTTGGAGGCTTTGACTCCACTCTGATCGGCCACATACTAAATTATTCAAAGGAGAAAATGCCACATATGGCATTTTCATTATAGAGCCAATTCTGCTTCAAGCCTTACTTTTCATGGGCTCATTTGTAGAAGCCCAGAGAATGTCCTTATTCCTTCAAGCTTTTCTTTTTTTGCAGATGAATGATCAGGGGAGTTTTAAAGTACCTTCTTGAATGGATCAATCTTAATGGATCCATCTTAAAACTTATTAGATTATTTTAGAGGAATAATTTATGGAAGACTCCTCCAGAGTTTTACTGAGATTAATGCAGATCATAGGAATCGTTATAAAACCCCATCTCTTCTCATTTACCACATGAAAGCAAAAGTTTTGAGACTGTGCTTTGTTGTTTCATTTAACAGGGAATGGATCTGCATAAGCAGATCAGTCCACTACACAAGGGCCAGATGGCAGCGTCCTGTAGCTATCACAGAAAAGTCACCATCCTCCTTCTGTAAAGCTCCACAGTCTGGAAAGGCCAGGTCTGGTAAGCATGGTGTGGTGGTTTGGAAAAACCTTTCCCCCCTGGGGCTGGTGATAGTCTGCCCCAGGGGGTAGTGTTTTTGATACTGGACCAATTAAAATTTGATGCACCCTGTGGAAATTACATACAAAACTGGAAGAGAAGACATTAATTTTAACTGTGTAGCTGGAAGCAGAAGCAACCATGCCTTGAAGCTCCACGTGTTAGAGGGGGGTCGGGGGGCCAGGAGCAGCACAACCACTGAGTGAAGCCCCCCCTGAAGCCTGTGATCAAGGGGGACCCCGAAAGATCGGGAAGACCCCCTGGGTTGCATCTTCTTCCCCCCCTTGCAGTGGCGGGGAGAGAAAAGCAGTGGCAAAAGCAGCACAACAGAGAGCTGTGGCCGTGAGCCAAGACGGGCTTCTGGCCAAAAGACTGTGCAAAGGAACTCTAGCAGCAAGAGAAAATAGCAGACGAGCAGCAAATATGGCATGGAGCAGACTGAGAGGCGCAGAGACATCCAACAGAAAGAGAGAGAGAGAGGGAGAGAGAGAGAGAGAGTTGGTTGCAATCAGTTCTAGGGTAAGGACTAAACTGAAAGCCCCTAAAACTCTTTGACTCCAGGGAGGAGGGGTGGAAATCCCCCAAGAAGTCTCCCGAGAGCTCATCCCCAGGGACCAGAACCTTCACGGAGCAAGAGCAGGGGATAAAGACTTTAAACTTCAACTCCTTGTACTTCGTGCTGTAGACGTGGTGGCATGGGTGTTCCCCTGAAACCCATGGTAACACCCTTGGACGAGGTGGCCAAGGAGCGAGAAGTGGGGGCAGACCCACCACACCCCTTAGAAGAAAGAAGAATTCTAGCTATGACAAATTGAAACTGCTGCCTTAAAGATAAGAGACACTTCCAAGTGCCACAGAAATTAATTTGGAAGAACTGTGGCCTGAAAGTGAAAAGAAGACTTCTTCTTCTTTCTTTCTGGACTTTTTTTTGAAGGAAAGGAGAGATGGTCTATGTATATATATTGTTTCACCATAGAAGAGATAGTTAAAATTGTTATATATATGAATATATATGTATTATAGCATTTATTGTGTAAGTAATAACTTGTAATATAATTCCCTTCCCCCATACTGAGTTGTGCCTGTCTGAAAACTTCTCTACACACATTAGAACAAATTGTAGAAAAACTTTTGAAATTAGCTTTTTAAAATTGTTTTTCCAAACCTCCACACATGGGAAGCCAGAAACCTTTAGAGGAACTGTGGTGGCTTGAACAACAAATACCATTAATCTGGAGATTATAAAATCCTTTAATCTGTTTTTAATCTCTGTGTTTTTTAAGCTGCTTCTTAGAAACTTTAAATCAACTGATACTTTCCGTCAGTCTCTTGGTTCAGTATTAGGCAGGATCAGAGGGTCTTGTGTAATGCATACGGGGTGAGGTACACTGCTCCCATCTCCCAGCTCAGCTGTCATGGCAGGTGCCTGTATCAAAGGCTCACATTTGTAAATCTTGGTACTGCTGCTTTTTTTGCCAAGAAATTTAACTCCTCTCAATATCACTCCTCATGACTTATGTCTTCTAATTGTTTTTTTCTCCATTAATACATTACTCATTTTTTTTGGTTTTTTGGTTGGTTGGTTGGGGGTTTTTTTTGTTTGTCTGTTTGTTTTTGTTTGGGGGTTTTTTGTTTGTTTGTTTGTGTTTTTTGTTTTGTTTTAGTTTTGGTTTTGGTTTTTTTTGTTCCTAGGGATAAAACATGCCTCCAGGGAATAATTGGCCTGACTGCCCTCTCTTGCAAAAATACACAGGAAACCCTCTGCATTTTTGCTATCAAAATTTCGTTGGATTATTCTGTGATAAGTGAAGTGTAGGATTGAAATGAGCTGTCTTTCTGTTATGGAAATCCTACTCCAACGCTATGCTACTGCATGAGATACATTAATAATTTACGTACCATTTTCTCTCTTTTTCCATCCTGAGGGAGGACTGTCGCAACTAATTTTTTTTTTTTTTTGCCAGCAGGTAAAAATACCAATTAAACACATTTTCTTAGTTTCAGTCCACAACAGTTTAATGCCAAGGGAACGTAAGGCAAAAAATAAGCAAGCTGCTTTTTGTTTTGCTAGGGTGGCTGGTTATACCTCAAGAATCAGCAAAGGTGCTATTTCATGGTTCAGCAATTCTTAGCTAACCTGCAGTGATGCAGGTGGGGCCAACTGGCTGCCCTTTGGCCCAGATCTCGTTCAGCAGATGGATCCAGGAAGAGATATGTGTTATCCACTTGTTTTGGATCATGCCTGTTCATAGGTAGTCTTTCTATGTTGATACAGCCGTACAGAGAATAGGAGACGAAAGGAAAAGCAAAAGATTTTGTATGGGTTGAACAAAATTGCAGTAAAAATGTAGGGCTACGTCATCCCATGCCTCAGGGACCAGGTGTGAATCCCTCAGAGAGAGCAAATGGCAAAAGTACACAGGTAGATAGTTGCTGGTCCTCGTGCTTCCAGTGCCTAACAGCCAGCATTCAGAAGCTGGAGATAAGAAAGCATGCTATTTTAGTGCTTGGCATAAATTTTTTGGAGGAGCTATTTTCTTGTTCCTTGTGACCCATCCATCCTTTTGACAGAGACCTGAGTATTAAAACCTAACACCAGTTCTTCTGCTGAGGTCAGTGCACTCAGAAGCTCATCACCTTAAGTACATTATAAATGCTAATCATTGTAGCTGAGGTTATATTATTACCAACTGAGGAATGACTGATCAACTGTTAAACAATGATTGAGCTCATTAAGAAAGTGTATAAATAAGTTATTTCCGTGTAACCACCAGAAAAATAAAACTCTGTACCATAGTCTGAACAGTGGCCAAGGACTGCATGTGCCCCTGTGCCCCTGGGCACCAGCTGGAGGGAGCAGTCTGCCACCCTCATGGGACTGCCCACAGCTCAGTCACTAGCACACTGAACATTTCCTCTCCCAGTCTCAACAAGTTTGATCTAACTTTGGTGAGACAATAAAAAAAAAGATAATCCCAGCAGACTGAGTACTGGAAAGAGATTAATTGCCTTTAGGATTTTGATTTTGACGTTTAAATTCCAGTCTGCAATTCATGTAATTCTATTTTGTTATATTTTTTTTACAAACTCTGTGTTGTAATCATGGATTTTTGTTGGCAGTATAAGGTGATAGGTAAGGCCACACAAAAGAAGAAAAAGGCTCCTGATGGTTTCCTGGAAAAACCCATCACCAGGGGAGACATTCTCAGGAACTGATAAAAGGGTTAAAACCAAGAAAGGAGTGATATGGAGATAACACGGCCTTTCTTCCTGAACATCCTGGCCCCCGAACTTGGGAAGTGGACCCTTGGGCCTATTTCATCTGTCTATCACCCCAAAGATTAGTTTATTGAGTATAGCCACTCAAACTGCCTAAAGAAAAAGGTATAAAGAGATATTGGACATAAGCAAAAATCAGGGAGAAGTTCCATCAATGCCACGGAGGTAACCGAAGGGCTACCTTTCCTCCCTCCACCTTCTTGGAATGCCGTGAGGTTAGTGATTGCTTTATACATATGCACTAATTTTACTTTTGTTCCATGCAACTTTAAAATTTTTACTTATTACTTCATTGTAAGTTGCTTTTGCTTCAGGGTGTGGGCCTATGCTTTGTATTATTGTTATTACTAGATACTATAAGTGTGCTTTTTTTGCAATTGGACCCTATTCCAGGCACAGCAAACCCCATATATTATCACAGATATGTATTAATAAACATGTTATTTTGTGAACTGTTGGAGTGAGTTCATTTTCAGGTGCTGACAGTTTTGTCGACAGTGAAATAACTCATAGGAGAAACCTGCTGAGGAGTTTTTCTAACGCTATTAAGTGCAGTCCCCATATAAAAGGTATCAAATGTCCTATCCATCTTGGTGAATTTGTTAAGCCAAGGGTCTCATTAGGTGAGATGCTAAAAGACTGTTTTGGATGTTAAAAGGCTTTGATCTCCTGGGGGACAGTGATAGCCAAAAAAATAAATTAATACAGGTTGGACAGAAAATGCTTCTTTTCTGCCCCTTTTCATGTGACAGGCATGATATTTTGAAATTATCTAAGCCCTTTTTCCTAGAATGCAATTGCATTTGGTTGTTTACCTTGTTTATGTTCAACTTTCATTGATTTCAAAAGGTTCAAATTACTCTTTGGAGTGGCATAGTTCAGAAAGAGTAGTAAATTATTATTATAGGGTCCAAAAAACCTCCAAACAAACAAAACTCAAAAAACCCCCAACAAATCAAGCACCTATAAAAAGGTAACATGTGGGTTGCTTTTTCTACATAGTATTTCACACTGTGTCAGAGCCTGTGTATGTGAGAGAGAGAAGTAGAATGGATAAGTCCAGGAAACATTTTACTGATCTTATAGATAAAGGAATAGCGGCTGCCAGTTTACTGCCTCGTGATGAACTGCTGTTTTCTTACAATGGAACTCTCTACCCTGTCACCATTTGTAGTCCTGAAACATTCAGAGCCTTGGAGTCCTTTGAATCCAGAAGTGATGATGTAATTTTGGCAGGATACCTTAAATCTGGTGAATATATTTTGCTTTTGTTAAATAAGGTCATATAATTGCAAATAGGTGGATTTGTATTAATATATGCAATATATATGATATAATATATATTATATTAAATAACTGTATTCAGAATGTTCACAAAATTTTGTGAAATGTATTTTGTTCTGAAAAAGCACAAGATAGTTAATTATGAGGATTTTATGTAGGAAATTTTCCAAAAGACTGAGAAAAACAATCTGATTTCTATAACATGTAAAGGTTTTTGTTATCTTTACTTTTCATAGTTATGAAGTTAAATGCATGAATTGGAGAGAATTAAAATACACTGATTTACACCACACATACTGATATCTCTTGATATTACAGGATCTGCTGTCACATTTATCTTTGTAAAGTTAACAGCTTTGTTTTTTTACACAGAATTGAGCTTTCCATACCTTCCCATGCCATGCTGCATTTTCTTTAGTTTGTTTCATACAGATGTCAGGAAATAGCTATCAGAAATATTTTTTAGCATTTGAAATGATCACATTGTTCAATGCTTATTAGGAAATCAGGAGGAGATCTTTGCTAGGAGTGTAAGTTTACAACCTTTGCTCCTTTGCTCCTTTCTGCCTGAGAGCACCCTGTGCTGCCCCTTATCAGAGCCACAGGTTTGGGTCAAATGTGTCTCATATTCATTTTAATCTAGTAGTTTCTCTCCTCCAGCTGGGTTCGCACTGTCTTAGAGCTGAAAGGATTGCAAGGTTTTTGATTTTTTTATCATATTTTCTTTTTGAAGAAATGCTTGCACCAGACTGCAGTTGTTAAGACTGTAGTGAGAAAGATGTAGGAATCCAGTATCCAGAAGTCAGGAAATGGTAGACTAAAGATGGGAGTTCGCTACAGACTCTTTGGTATGTTTTGAGAAAAATATAATAAAAGTGTATAGGAAATGTCACTTCAGAGAATTTTTTTCCTATTGGCAAAGCAAATGAGTACATACAGCACAGAGGACCAAAGGTAGGACCCTGACAGGTGATTGTCCAGATAGTCAGTTGTGATTGTATCACATGAAAGGAGACCAGGTAACTCACCTAGTAGTACTACCTTCCTCCTGGCTTTCCTGGAAAATCCATTTCTGTTTATTCTAAAACTTTTACAAGAAATTCTGTATTTTTCCTCTTTCAGGCACAAACTGGCTAAGTCAAATCTTAACTGACCTGATAAACATATCTAAAAAGAAAACACAGGATAGAGAAAGCGGTGTGAATGACGAAGAACTAGAATTCCCCTACCTTGAAGTTGGAGATGCCGAGAAATATGAGGTGGGAACAGAATATGTGTAAAATTACTGAATATATGGAGTGTGAAATATTCCACTGTTTGAAAAGAACTCTCCCGCTTTTCTGTATATGGCATCTGGTCAGGATGAATCTTGTCTGGATTGCCAAATGGTGAGGGATAAATGAACACTTCAATGAGAGTGACAGGAGCACTTACCCATTAGATGCACAAGAACTGCAGAAATTCAACATAGCATCTTCTGTGTTTAAGAAGAGCTTCAAGAAATATCAAATAATGAAATACTAACTTTTGTGTCTTTTACTAGCTCTTCCTCCTCACCCCTGCATCCAGTCCTTGAGATTCTTCAGCTTTCACATATACCCAGTTAGAGTCTGTATCTTACCTTCAGATTTGATCCCTTATCTAACAGAACATGTCAAATTCATTATCACTAAAGAGAATTAACAATGGATAATCTTTCTCTAGTCCCTCATTCTCAGGGGTTTTTGAAGATTAGAGCTACTCACAGCAGCCCACTAATATCCCAGGGTAAAACATACACACACAGAAAAGTACTTTTATCGGCCAATAACTTGATAAGTTTAGCAAGGCAACATTTTAAAATAGGCTGTTGGAAAGAATATTTGTACTGACTGTAGTGAACTGTCCACTCTCCTCCTTCCAATTCCTAAAGCGAATGACCAAATTACCTTCTCCAAGATTTATGGTTACTCATCTCCGTCCTGAAAACCTTCCCAAGTCTATCTTCAAAAATAAAGTCAAGGTGAGTGCTGATTTTAATGTCTTGAAAGCAAACACTTCAACGGCTTTTTTTTTTTTTTTTATACCAATGAAATACTTTTCTGCCAGTTTTCAGAATCACTCTTATACTTAAGTGTTTAGCCTGGCCATTGCTACATACCTGTTTAAGTATTGCCATTCATCTCACTTAACCTCTGTTCATCCTTATTGGCACCTTTGTGACAGTCTCCATAAGGGAGTTGCAGGACTTGAACAAATCCTCCAGAGGCAAAATGCATTTTGACACAATTTCCCATGGGAGACATTTTGTGGTGTTGTCACAAGTGAGGGCTTCAGTGTGACAAGTTTCAGAGAGAATTTGTATTTTTGTGATTTTTTCCTTGCTACCTAAATGATGAATTATGCTTGTGTTGAGCAAAACATACTTAGATTCTGCATAATTAATTTGGTTAATCTGTATAAAATAAAGGCAATCATCTTCACATGGTTCCAAAGCAAAGTTAAATACTTCACCTTCTTAATTTGGAATGAAATTACTATGTCTGCAAGTAGCATACAAGATATTAGAAATTCCCCAACTGCAATTATAAAGTATATTATTATTGTTTTCATGCTATAGTTTGTTACATCTTTCTGTACAAATAATTAATTTTTTTTCTAGATATTGTTATTGATTCGTAACCCAAAAGATGTAGCTACATCCTATTATCATTTTTCCAATGGCCTGGCTATTCTTCCCTCCTATGAGACTTGGGATGATTTCTTCACAGATTTCATGACAAAGAAAGGTACAGTATATTATTCTGGCTGTGTCAATTATTCAAGGCTTTGCCTTTGTCTAAAAAAGCTTTACTTCAGTAAATTAGATTCACTAGGAATTTTTGGTTTACAGTACAAAAGTAGAGATTAAAGAAAGAAAGTTAGACATTTGCACTAAAGTTTACCATACTTGTCTTACTGCTTGAGGATAAGTCCCTGTCAAAACTGCAGTTCCACAAGCTGCTTTAACTTGTCTAAACTGATACTTTTTCTGAAAGAAGTAGTTCTTCCTTATCTCTGTCTTGGATCCCCTTCACCCCTCTTCTCCAGTGTCCATCATCTCGTGTCCATACGGGCATATAAACACCTACATGCTAAATAGGATGAAAGGAATTATTTGGACTAAGTCTAATGCATTAAAAAGGAGAGAAAATAATAACACTAGTTTAAATTGCATAAGTTTAGCATAGCACACGGCCAGCTGAAGGGAGGGTTACACAAGGTTTCAAAGTGGATTAAGGGAGTCTGCAAGATGGTTTGAGTACTGATAGCTCTTTGGTGGAGTCCCGTCTGCCTCGAGATACTAGTAAGTTTTACTGTTCCAACTTACAAATTGTATCATATCCTTGAGACTTGTGCATATGCCAGAACAGCCTGGAGCAAAACCTATAATTTCCACAGAAGGGTGTAAACTCTGCCATAGACATGATTAATAGTGCCCGTGGCTGAGAGATCAACTTAATGAATAAAATTTAGTTTATTTTTTAAGGAGCTTGTCTAATGTTCATTTATGACACATCTTAGTATTCTTTTGTTCTATTTAGTGGTCTGGGGATCCTACTTTGAATACCTTTCCAAATGGAACAAATATGCTGATGAAGAAAATGTTATGACAATAACTTATGAAGAGCTAAAAGAGGTGAGGATATCAATAATTACAAATATTTTATACTTCAAAGAGCATTTTTTCCTAAACCAAGTCACCATTATATTCATGTAGGTTATGCAAACTGTGTGGGATAGATTCTTGTTTTACGTAAAGAAAAGGTAAAATGCAAACTCAAAAACCTTTTAAAATTTCGCCTGAGAAAATTATTATTGTTTTTTATTTAGCTGTGCTATAAGACCAAATAATTGAAAATCAAAATCCCCAATAATTTTCTGGGAGGGGCTTTTATATATTCAACAGTGTAGATTTTGTTCAGCTGTAAATCGTGCACAATCTTTTGTAATCTATAGGGAAACAGCTCATATCTCCTCTAAAATAATTATGGAGAAGAGAAACACTATGTATTACTCTAGTCCTACTGAACTCTATGAATATTCCATATATGTAGCTAACGGAGAGATGTAGGGAATTGTAAATGCCTTGGAAAGCAGTGTAATTTCCTTGAATGTCATGTGGTATGTTACATTCCTCTTTCCAGAATCCTGTCGTGGGTGTGAAAAACATAGCTGCTTTCTTAGGGATTTCAGTGACTGAGGAGGAGCTTCAGTTTGTGGTGGAGAGGAGCAGCTTTGAATCAATGAAGAAGAACTCACAGAAGACCCATGGGGCATTAGGCAACATTCTCTTTCGCAAAGGTAGGAAGCTCCAAGCAGTTCAGAGGTAGAAATGTCACATTCTCAAGAACTTGGGCCATTCGTTACTTCTTTTTTTTGCATACATATTAGCATTGCAAGTTAGTATCAAGCAGGTTATCACTATTTCACTTGAGAAAGCTATTCAAGGAGCAGTGTTGAGAAAGATACCCAGCAAGGCTCTGGCAACAGAACAAATTTTATAGGCCCACAGATGGCTTTCAGGAAGGAGGAACTGTCATGTGTCTGAACTCCTCTTCACCTCTGTGCCTATGTCACTGATTGTTCAGCCATTAGAGGCTTATCCGAGCAGGCAGCACTGGGCCAAACTCAACCTGAGTGGCACGATCACACTTTTTAGGAGGGCCACTGCCAAACCTCTGTTCACTCTTACAGGTTAGGAGGAAGTCAAGCATGCAAAGAATCAGGTACACAGAGGGGCAACAAAAGGGAACTATTTTTGCAGCATAGTGTAGGGGACACAGAAATAGGAAGGCCAACTGGCTGTCAATCTATTTATGCAGTTTATGTTAAAGAAGTCATTAGATAAAAACTCTAGCTGCCAAAGGAGCAGAAACTCAGCTCTGCCTCCTGCGAGATAATTCTTAATCAATTCTTCATGATCTTTCGCTTTGTCAGTCATAACTGACTGGAGTAGAGAGTTGTAGGGGACCAGGACTTTAGGCTGCCTTTTTGAACACAATCACCGGAAGAGGAGTATTCTCTTTTGCATTATAGCAGTTTTGCAGATATGCAGCTCCATTGAGTTCACAAAATTATATTGGTGCAGAAATGAGTAAAGTTTTATCTGGAAAAATAGATCAACAGTATTTAGTGCACAATGGAATAAGAATGGCAGATGTATAGAAAATTTTTTGATTTTCAAGTTTCTTTACTTCTCTGAAGGTGCTGTAAGTGACTGGAAAAATCTTTTCAGTGAAGATCAGAATGAGAAAATGGACAAAGCATTTGAAGAATATGTAGGAGGAACTAAACTCGGAGCAAAGTTAAAGTATGAAGTGTACTGTAAAGCCTGAAGAGTAATAAAATGTGGTCAGAACAAGAAGTTCACAAGGCACACGCTGATAATCTGAATACTATATACTGGAAAATTAGATCAAATTATCAAAGCACCTTAAAATTACTGTAATAAACAGACTGCAGCAGCCTTTATAGTGACGATGATGAATAGTAGGCATTTGTTTTATGGTGAGATCTTTGGCTTGCTTTGGTTACACCCATTTGCTGAAAGACATGTCAACTAATCATATTCACAAAAATTCAACAGCCCTGTTCCAGTAGCTGTCACCTGGAAGGAAAAGCCCCTTTTCTTTCTAGCCAAACCCCATCTTTCTAGACTATTTTATAGTTATTTACTGTGCAGATAATGTTTTCTTCAAAAATGTTTCAAATCAAGCAAAATCTTCACAGAAAAGATTACTAGCAAAAATATGGATCTGACACAAACCTAATGACAAAGGATGTCTTCCATGACTTCAGCACAAACTGGATCAGAGCTAGAGAGAGAAGAAAGAAAGGGAATAAGGATTTTAATCTCGCTGAATGCAAAATGTCAGGATGGATTTCAGATTATAGGCTGGTGTGAACCGGAAAAATTCACTCAAAGGCACTGCTTTTATAGGAACATAGAACAGCCCAGGATGGAAGAGATCCTGAAAAATGATACGGTCCAACCTTTCATGAGAAATGAAGCCTAGATGAGATTATTGCATCTTGAAGACCTGCAGTGATGAGGACAGACTCTATCACATTTCTGGAGAGGTTGTTCCAGTGAATGATTGTTCTCACTTTAAAAAATTTTTTCTTATATTAAGATGAAACCCCTCCTCACGTGAACCCACTGCCTGTTACCTTCTCCATATGGCTCCTTGTGAACAGAGAACCTCTGTCCTCTTTGTTGCTGCCGTTTAACTACTGAAATTCTGTGATGAGGTTGTCCCTGAGCCTTCTCATCTTTGTGGTCCTCCTTTGGAACCCCTCCAATTTGTCAGTGTCTTGAAAATGGTTCTGTTGAGAGAGTGGGAGTGCCAAGAGTGATGGTGTGAGACATTACTATACTCAGCTATATTGTACTGCCATTGTTATTTGGCACTGTGGACACAGTATTTCAGACCTGTCCAGGGACTAATTGCACTTCAGCCACCTGTTCTGGGAAAAGAAGCAAAATGAAGTTCTTTAAGTACAGTTGAATTAAAAACAGGAAAAACCACACCCAATTTATAGATTCACCACTAAGCAGATATGAAATAAAAATAAAATATAATAAAGTATTCTTTGACTTTATGCTTCACTCTTTTAAAGCTTGTTGGTTTTGCCTGGACATATGTAGACATGTAGAGTTTTGCAAAGAAATAGGAATGCTTAATATTTAGAAAAAATGAATGAATTTGAAAGCAGAGCAGCTGAAAATCCTGATGCAAGTCATCTTTGAACAACTACAAATTATGGGTAAGAACCCAGAAAGGTACCAGATGCCTTGGAGAACATATGTAATAGCTGTGTTAAAAACTTGAGAAAGAATCAAAATAGAGCAGTCACCTTAACTTGATACCTGGAAATGCACTAGCAAAAATGACCAAGCAACCCCCCATGAAACATTTTGAGGATAATAAGGTAGTAAGTATAAATCATGTCAAAGCTGTTTGTGTTCCTCCTTTAAAAGATAACTTACCTCTTGAATAAGCCATAGACAAAAGATACAATAGGTGACAGCATCAGAAAGGGTCTGAAATTATATGACAGAAGAGACACAGTGTAAATCCAGAAATGTATGGCCTTGTATGTGGAGATGGCAGTGTGCAAATGTGGTTATAGTAATGAAATTGAAGTACTGAAAGTAGATTTGTGTTCCAATTAATTCATACAACAGCTGCAAAAGGCATTCAGAAGCAGGGTCACCAGCAGCAATACCTTCACGAATATCCACTTGTTTACATGGATGTTATGAACTCAGTTGCATGCTCATGGTCAAACTGCATATACTGGATGACAGCAAAACTGGGAGGTCAATTAAAGCAGTATCCCCTAGTGGTGAGTCCTGGTCATATTCAACATTGTTCTTAGCACTGCTGGACAAACTAATATCACATACTGTGTCATAAATGGTTGACTTTTAAGTCTAGAGATCAGAATAGACAGCTGAAAGTACTTGAGAAAATGGGGAAACAATTTGAAACAACATAGCAAATTGAAAAGACTAGCAAACACAAAGATCAGTAAAAGTAAGTGTAAAACACTACATTTAGAAAAGAGAAAGCAAAGGCACAGGTATTCAATGGGGGTAAACCAGTGATGCAGCAGTTGGCATGAAAAGACCTGAGTAATCACACTCAGCAAGAACTAACATGGTGACAGTGCTGGAAAAAAATGGCCAAATCTTATTCAGGTCTACTGTAACAGGAGTACCATACCTAAAACACAGGCAATAATTATTACAGCCTCTGTTTGCAGGTCTTAACTGGAGAATGATGCTCTGCACAGACTGCAAAGAAATTTCATCTGTCAGGGAAAAGATAATCATGCTTGATTCTTTAGCAGTACAAGGTGAGGACTAGAAATTTACATAAAATCCCTTCTAGATCTATACTTGTAGGCATCTTGTAATATAGCAGACCAGCTTTCTGCGTTCTTACTGATCCCCTGCCCGTACCCCTTCTTGCATGAATTATATTTTCACCAAACACCTCAGTTTATGGAACAGGCAAAAGTCTATCAAGTCTGACTTCTTATGTGATAATTTCCCCCCAATTAGATCCACACCAGATTTTAGAGTTGCGTTCTGGGTTCTCACTGGCTGAGCCCCATTGCAGCTTCATGGAAGCTTTTGGGTTTTCAGACACTGATACCACACAAGAACCTTCCCTTGCAGTGAGGCTTTCCAGGCACAATGGACTTTGCGAAGTAAATCTGCATATCGCATTTATTTTAGTTAAGAAGGTGAAATCATTAATCTTAAAAAACCGTTACCTTTGTAGCATTTTTGGGTGAGAGATTATGTAGGTAGTTGTTACTGAGTCTGGAAACAATCTTTGCAAACACTGGATGCTACACGGCTTCCAGGGGAAAGACCGGCTCTCTGGGTAATTCCTCAAATAATAATGCATCACCATTACTCTATTGAACTAGATTAAAGTTAGTTGGACAACACCTAAACTAAAATAAAACATAGACATGTCCTCACTGATCTGATAGAAAACCAGACCATGACCTGTTTCTGCAGTTTATCCTCTCCTGTGTCATCCCAAGGCTTGGGTTTAGTCTCTTTGTGCCCCTACAGTCTCACTCTGAAGGACCGAGCTATTCAAGCAGTAACACCTCACATGCTTTTGGCCTATTGAAGATACACTGTGGGCCCTTGGATTTAGTGGAGTAAGGAGGTGGGAGAGGGGAGGATAGAGAAGGCAAGCTGCCGTGTTAGAAAATTAATGTAGGCAAGGAAACTTGATGGATGACTAACATTACGAGAGAGTGAAACGTTAGCAGAGGTGAAGTCAGTGAGTGTGAGAATCAATTCAGAAAAATTTGGGAATCTCTTTTCAAGGTAAGATATAATTGTCTAACACAATAGGAGTGGCTTTCAAATGTTATTACTGCTAGATCCTTACCAATCTTCAAAATAATAAAAAAAATTATCTTTCTTTTTGGTCTAGTCTTTTTTGTTACTTATGATTCCTGAAATTATATATTTCCACTGAAGGGGATGCTTACATTGTATTTTTTGCTGTTTGCTCTAAGAAGATGAACAAACCAGAAAAATTATATTAACCCATCTCCTACTTCATGTCTTTTCCCCAATCCATTTTTCAAAACAAGGCTAAGGTAAATCTTTGGCTAAGGTGAATTTTCTCTTTATGTTGTACTGCAAATGCTTCTGATACCAGCATTTCTATCCAAGGCAGATTTTCCTGTAGGTAACTGAGCAACTCAGAGTTTTGCCTGGTGACCATATGAGCTGTGCCATATGAGTCAGTCACCTGCTTACCCTAAGACACTGGCTGTCAGACAGACAGCGCTGGGACTGGGACTCTCGACATCCTCAGGGCACCTGGTTACCACTAGTCTCTCCAGAGAGACAGGGCTTCTCTGAGCCCTCACCTCTGCAGCTCCTGAGCAGACTGACAGGTGGCTGTGACAGCATCGAGCACCCTGCTGATAAGCAGAGATCAGAGTCTAAGGGTTAAAGGACCTGGAGGCACCTCTGTCCCCAGTAGCTCAGGTTGTTAAATTTCATGTCAAGGTCTTATCTGGCTCCCTCAGGATTCAGGTGGCTGGCTCCAAAGACAGGAAAAAAAAGTTTTAATTTCTTGATGCTCTTTAGTATTGGCAAGGGGAAGGAAATTTTCCTTTGCAACTCAGAGTAAACACATGGACAGAAAACTGAAAACAATAACAAAAACAAAGCTGGCAGAGAATATAATGTATGAACACTGTCCCAAACTTTTATGAGTAAAATAGCACTGCTAGAGAAAATATTTCCAATAAAGTGGTCCATTTTGATGGTTCTGCATTTTGAGAGAAAAATAATTTTAAATTGTTGTTTGTAAGTAACTTTTATCAATCTTCCAAGTCTTACAGTTATACTTTTGATTTAACACCTCCTCATGCTTAATTAAACTTGTGTTTAGATTTACTAAGTGTCTAACAGCCATTTATGACGAAAGAGACAAGTATGTGATGCAAGGGTTTGATATATGGATAGTGAACAGGACTCATACTATATTCAAGGGCATGAAAAGAAGAGTGAAAGGCCCTCCACAGGGCAATTAAGCCTTTCTATATTGTCTCTCTGTTTGACTGATCTGTGGAGATATCTATTTTTGCACCTCAATACTATTTATCTTCTGAAAAGGTATCAGCTAGAATACAAATAACAGCCACATAAAGAACAATTTCACCCAAAGATTAAATTATGGATGTTAGGAGAGAGAAATGGAACTGAAGTAATACAGGTAGAATTTGATTCACATTAATGCAGAACCTAAGTATTGATCTTCACATGAAAGTGACCCTCCTGTAGGATTCGGTGATGTAAAAGTCTCAAATGTGAGTATTTCGTCATGAGAATTCGGGCTTAAATGGTACTTGTCCTTAGCTCTGGAGATACTGCCTGAAGTGATGATGTTACAGGGACTGGCTTCAGGACAGAGTCACCATCTGTAAGGAAGCCATGGTGGATGTGTATCCACCAATGTAGTCAATAAGCCAGGTTGAGATTCACTGTCCACATGTGCACTACATGCCACTTGGCCAGTTTGCAAATTGCATTGCAGTGCTCAACAGTTAAAAATATTTCAGGGAATACCTTTTATAGGTCTTTCTTTTGTTTCATTTAACATTTTGAATGTTATCAGTTGTTGCCCCAATATATCCTCTTCCTAGTATCGGCTGCAGCAAAGACCTTATGCCTCCATTACAGTCTGAAGTCCTGTAATGTACAAAGGGGTTAACAGAGTACAGAGTTAATCAGTGACTTGTACCTTCAACCCTGAGTGAACACCCGATCTGCTTTGCTAACGTGTTGCATAAAGCTTTCCTGCATTGTGGAAAGACAGTCTGTATTTGTTTTGGAAGAGTTACAGAAGGATACAAACATGACCAGAAATAGAGAAAGAAACAATGAATTAATGGAAAAATATTTTTCAGAGGGTGAAAAGCTTGCCCCAGAGGACATGCTGTTTTCCTACAGAGATATTTTATTCCCTGTTTCAGTTAGTAGCCCAGAGACTTTGGAAGCTCTGAAATCCTTTGAAGCCAGGAGCGATGATGTGATTCTAGTAGGCTATCCTAAATCAGGTGAGTCTTGTTTTTTTGATCAGTAGTCAAATACAAAGTGCTGCAATCTAGAAGTTTGAACCATCATTTAGCACAGTAGTAATTCCCAAGAAAAGCTTATGGTAACATCAGAGTTCATAGGATCATGAATTGAAGTTGTAAGGCATATCTGGAGGTCAAATAATACAACTTCCTGTTCAAATCTGGGGAAAGAGCTAACCTTCAAAGTTAGTTTTGGTTGTTCAAGACCTTGTCCAGAAGAGTTTTGAAACATTTGAGGGTGGAGATTCACCACTCGCTGAAATATTTTACAGTGCTTTCCTATGACAGTGGGGTTTTTGGGGGGATTGGGGGGTTGGGATTTAGTTTGTTTGCTTGTTTTTACATCAATGCATTCATACATCCTTTTGTTGTGAAAAAGGCACTGTCTTCATTATAAGAGCAATGGAGGTGTACTTCTGCTTCTACTGAGGGATGGGATGTGTTTCTGAAGCAAGCAGGGTGGCACTTCACAGTATCTACTTGACAGCTCTGTCCCTGTTGGCTTTTGTCATACCCTTGTTGATTATTGCCCAGTGTCGTGATTTAACCTCGGCTGGCAACTCAGCCGCACAGGGGCTACTCACTCATTCAGTCCTGGCATGATGGGGGAGAGAAACAGAATGGTAAAAGTGAGAGAAGTCATGAGTTGAAATATAGACAGTTTAACAGGTCAAACAAGAGCCGTGTGTGCAAGCAAAGCAAAATAAGGAATTATCTCTTAGTGGCAGACAGATGTTCAGCCATCTCCAGGGCTCCATCACATGTGACGGTGACTTGGTAAGATAAGTGCCATGACTCTCAACATACCCCTTTGGGGAATATTCTTTAGGTCAGTTGGGGTCAGCTGTCCCAGCAGGGTCCTCTTTTAATTTCTTGTGCACCTTCAATCTACTCTCTGGTGGCTCATTGTGAGAAGGTCTTAGTGCTGTGTAAGCACTCCCTGGTATAACTAAAATGTCTCTGTGTTATCAACACTGTTTTCAGCACAAATCCAAAACATAGCCCCATACCAGCTACTATGGGAAAAATTAATTCCATTGCAGCCAAAACCAGCACACACACTTGTTGAAAGGCTAAAGTACAATATAGAACAAAACTGGTTCACATGGAACCAGATTGACAATATATCCTGTCAGCCAGGTTTACATGGAAAAGTGCAGTTGAATGAATGCAATTCTGGTGTCCTTATCCTTTCAGGAACCAACTGGCTTGAACAAATGGTGCAGGAGTTCGCAGATGCCAAATATACAGAAGAGGAAAGAAAAGAGAGAATAAATGCTGAAAAGAAGCTAGAGACATTTCAGCGTCTAGAATTTGGAGATCCTGGAATATATGAGGTAAGCAGGAAATGAAAATATTGGCACTGCTCTACTTACAAGTAGTAATAGCTGAAAGACAATGGCTGATCTCAGAGGTAATGAAGAGCCTAGAGCCTTAACAGCAGCTATGTTCTGCACAAGTAGCATGTGCTATTGCCCTTGGTGTCTCAATACAAAGGCATTCAGAGGGCACACAAGGTTGAGAAGACACAGGGTGATCCTGTCCTGGAACCAGTGGATTTGATAAGTAAGACCTTTCTTTTGGGTGTCCTGTCCTCAGGCCTGTCTCGTGCGAAATGATGTTTGGTGGCAGAGGCTGGCAGAAGCCTACACCACCAGTGCATGCATTCCTGTGAGTTTTCCAAGGGATAAGATCCTTATTCTCTGGACCCACAGTTCCTGAAAAGGCACATCACTGAATAAGCTACTTCTGTCTTGTCACATTTCTCCCTACTTTCTTTAAAGAGGATGAAGAAACTGCCTTCCAGAAGAATTATAGTAACCCATCTGACACCTCAACTCTTGCCTCCATCCATTTTCCAAAGCAAGGCCAAGGTGAGTCTTCTCTTTGCAGCACACTGCAAAAGCTTTTTCACCTCAAATTAACTTCCCTCTGTGTGAGATGGGTTTTCTGCTTTTTCACCTGGGCTGGTCAATACACAGGCAGATTTCCAAGGTTGGAGGGACAGCTCTGTGAGCTAAGGCTGTGAAAAAACATCCTCTCCCAGCAGCAGCTTTGCTGACTATTATGGCTCGACCCTGGCCAGATACCAGGGGCCTATTAAAACCACTTCACTACCCTCCCTCCTCCCCCTGCAGCTGGACAAGGAGAGAGGAAGAAAAAAACAGCAAAGGAATTTCATGAGTAGAGATAAGGATTGAGAGAAGGCAGTGTTAACAGGCAAAACAAACTCAGAGTGAGGATAAAATTTTTTACTAACAGAATAAGAGCTAAAGAGTAAGAAAT